AGAGTTTTTGGGGCACAGGCATAATAATTTCATGCATTTGCAAAGAAATTAAAAATACAATTTTATTAAGAATGAAAAATATTACAAGTGATAGTAAATTAAGTCTTTTTGATTTATTATTGGATTTAAAATAATTTGTTTAATGAAAACTCTAAAAAAAATGAAAGTGTGCTTAAAAATAGCACGAAAGGCAAGTTGACAAGCTATTTTGCCCCCTTTCCAGCTTGCCAATTTTTAGTTTACATTTGGGTTTTAATCGAATTAGCACAATTTAGTTATACTATGAAAGCAGGTGACAGAATGGAGCCCGAGTTCCAAATTTCACATTTCAGTTTTTCCAGCTGATTGTGGTTCAAAATATTCCATTCTGAGACGCGTGCCCAAGTCACGCACTCTCTGAAGGAAAAGGGGTGTTTTTTGGGTGGGGGCCGACCAGGCAGTACAACAATGTGGAGTCCCCGAGCGGAGCTTCCCGTAAAGCACAGCACATGATCGGCAGTGTTACACACGTATGCGAAAAGTTCTTTCACCTCGATTGAATTCTAGTTTCATGTTTTAGTTTGATGAACGTAAACGATCGGCGCGTCTTCGGCTAGTTTTAATGCCAATATAGATAAGGGCGAAGCGTTGATAAGAGGCGGGACGCCAAAACGAATTATAAACAAATTGATACGCGCGTGTCAAAGAGAAAAGCAAGAAAGAGAAACATAAGCTAATCTACAAACACAGAAGCTCAACAAGTGGAGATTCTCTTTGGGGTACATTCAATAGACGGTACCGGCAGATTTCATTCATGCTATCAACGCCAGAAATTTTTCTTCTGCTGATAATTTCAATGCAGCAGCAACATTTTTACTGGATTGTATTCCCGCTCACCACATACCGATTATTGAATAACAAATTTGCTTTGTTTTGCCAATCTCTCGGTTAGTTTTTGCAAACCAGGCCCTGCCAAAAAATATTTATATATACTCTTGAAGAGTGTCTATTGGATTGTATTTCTTGCGGCTATGGAACGCTTGGGCTCCGATAATTAAGCCAGTTAGCTGCCTCAAGGTCACGTTGATAAGGACTATTCCTAAAGGAATGCAGCGTTGGTACACTTATAGATTAAATAACCGCGTTGAATTGGGGAAAGGAAATAAAATCATGAATGAATATAGTAAGTCAAATCTGAGCAACTTTTCTGCACATAGTTTGTTTCAGATAACGAGTGATAAATAAACGAAAACACTTAATATTCTTTTGGAAACTGTTATACTCTATCTTTTGTTATGGTGATAGGAAGCACAAAAATCATCATCCAAAAGTTTTAGAAATATTTCTACATTTTTTAACTGAATCAACAACCAAAAAGTGTACAATTTATGAATATACAAATATATAAACATATAAAGGCAATTATTGATCAACCACAAATATTTCTAAAAATTTAAAATAATCTTGCAAACCTAATATTACACTCAATGGGCAAAAACTTGTTCGAGAGTTCTCAACGCCTCTATTACTTCGATTCCTTTTCTAATTCCACTCAGTCTTTGACCGTTTCGTATTCTTGACTTTAAATTGCCGCTGATGCCGGGCTGCTGTTTATGTTATTAACACAACAAACAACCACTTAGCTTCAAAAATAATTTCAAGCATTTGGTGGGGTTTAAAAATAAACATCAAAGCGAGAAACGGCGTCGGAAGCACGAGTACATAGAGTGCGGATAAGTGACAAGAGTGTCCAAAAATAAATATTGAGAAGGCTATTTTTAAACCAAAAGGCCGCGTATCCGTTCCCCAAATGCACGGCCCCAAATTGAAGTTTCTATATGTGAATGGGGGATCGTATCGAATCGTACTCACAATGTTAATTGGCTCCGCTCGAGCGGATCGGGTTGAGTCTAGACTCGAGACAAATCGTTTTAAATTAGATCTTTTGACTTCAAATGGCCCGCTTAGCTTCTCGTTCGGCTTATGTGTTTGCGAAGCCTGAAAAAGTTTATAAAGTCTTGTGACATTAAATGGTGGCCACAAAAAAGATATAAAGCATGAATTCTTAATGAAAACCATCGAAAGTCCTATGAGAGCCAATGATTCTATTGACGCTTTGTCAGGTCTATCGGAGACATATTGATTTGAAGTGGATAATTCATTTCGTTTCTCCATTTATGACACTCGCATTCGCTTGGTATTATTAATTATGCAGGCGAAATTACATTTCAGCGATTTACCTACTCAATTGAGCACAATAAACATGGCAAGTAACAGTAATTGTCGCTTATGTTGTTGTCGAGGCTGCATTTCGCAGTTCATAAATCAAGCGCGAGCGCAAAAGTATCTGACAGATACAAATAGCGAATGGCCGCCGCCGTAATGATTGCAGCGTTTACGTTCATTTACACTCCATCAATTGCGTAGTTTACGGCCCAAAGGCGGCAGGGAAAAAGTGCGAAATGAGAAACCGAAAAGTCATCATCATCGAACCGCGCTGTCGATGCATTCAGGGCTTTAATCAGTAGTAGAACTACATAATACGCAGTTTCGGCATTCTATATATAGTCCTACTCGTGGGGCAATTAGCAGACGATTGAGTAGTTTTTACGGCGCATATACCTCGATGCATGCGACGGCCAGTGTAAATATAATTAAACATGCTTGTTTAGTGACCAAAACAATTATTAAATAACATTTGCATGTGAGATGCTGTTTGCGATCGATCGGGAATTGTGTTTAGTATTGGTTATTGTATAACATAAGCATTAACATTAAAGATTTCAAATTCGATGGCACAGCTAATTCAAATTAGAAATAAATATTAATTTTAATTTCTCATTCGACGGGTATTTTTCAAATATGCGGGCTTAAATATTACGATTAGAAAAAAATGGGCTCTCCATTCTAGAAATAATATAAATGTGGATTTTTAAAGAAATAACATAATTTATTGATATTGAGAATGCTTTTAGGACAGCCATTTAAATCGAATAAACGTTTATCTCTTGGCATAGCCAACAAAACACATACCAGATAATTTGCCATTGATAAAATAAATTACATTTGATAATGTGTCGATTTTAGCCATGCAACAACATTTACACAGCGCTTCTGGGTAAGTATTTTCAATAAATTTTCTGCCATTCGACTTCTGTTTACATTTCCCATGTGCACGCGTGCAGTAAACACAGTTTGCTCCCCCTTGCAAAACTAGGTGGTTTCTCAATCCAACGCCGTTTTCGTATCTTTCTCTATGTGCTCAAGCCATTAGGATGTTAATTAGTTGAAACTAATTAAGCAAAACCCAGTACTTGCAAAACTTTTGCAAATTTAAAAACTCAATGAATTACCAACACATCAATACATTGGAGGAGAGAAAGTTAATTTATTCACAGACAATTTACAAGAAATTCATTTTGGGCCAGTTTGTAATAAATATTTGAACTTTTTCCGTGCTTAGTTTGTTTTTGGCCAAAACGCAATTCGATTCTGCTAATGCGCACTTTCAAGAGAGATTAGACCAAAGCTAATGACTGCGCATATTTATAAAGCCCACAGAAATATATGTATCTGCCAGGTACATCATGCATTCATATATGTATATGGGTCAGTCGCGATAAGAACCGATGCAGACATATGCGAGTGTCCAATAAACTCACGTGAGTGCGATTTGTGAATGATTTACGACTGACATGGCGAATATCTTATGACTGTCTGGCATGGGACTGGATAATGTCCTATGGCCGATTTGCGAAGCCCCTCCGAAGTCATTATGGCCTGCAATACCCATTTGCCCTTCCCAATACACAACCTATAAACTCGTATATGGGCAAATTCAATTTGCCTGAGCAGGAAACGAGCATAAATCAAGGGCAGTGCAAATTGTGGGAATTTGAGTTTTGCACTTACGGAACTGGGGAAGTCGAGCCGCCAGGAAATCTTAGCAGTTGATCAATTTTAATGGCCCGCCACTGGAATTACACGATTCCCTGCAAACCATAACCAACATACATAAATTTACCGCGGCACCTGGCATTGCAATTGCGAATAAAAATAAATATAAAGCTAGCTAGGTCAGGCCACACACATATTCACAGTGGTCTCAAATTTTTAAATATTAAAGTACCAGCAAACTGTTTAAGTTTATATATATATATATAATCACTTCATATTTTTAAACTCTAGAGGAAAATTCAGACACGAAATGAAACTACAAACTATTTTTCGGCATCTCCTTTTGCCAACAGTTTTTCCTATATTTTCCCCACTGTGCGACGCTCGTTATGCACGAAATAAATGTTTATCAGTCCAAAGCGTGCCAACGATTATATTGGCAATTATATCGGCACATCGGCGCCCCGCACGTGACCACTTTCAAGTTCAACGCCGCAAGAAGGCAGCAGTGCTGGCATAATCGCTCGACGAGACAGTCGACAAAGGGGCGGGACAGGTGAAAGAATTCTTATCTGAGGGGGAGGTGTGGCCAGACAGGTGAGCTCACCCAACGTGGCTTGTGTCAAGGACAGTTCTATTATGCAGGGCACAGTTACGTCCTTAAGTTCAAATGCAGGATTATGCAGAAAGTTACGGCCAAGTTACAGAAGTGATGGGTAAACTTTTGTTTACCTGGGCTATATTGGCATAATAGAAAGTGGTGCTATAAATATCTTTAAAATTTCAATTGAATTTGCATGACCTGACTTATTTTGTAACTACTAGCTAAATCCATTTGAAATGTTAAAATATTTATGCATATTGCTCATATTGCAAAACAAAAATCACAACAAAAAAACCAAAAAATTTCACAATTACAATAAACTTATTCATCCATAACTTTCCCGTATTTACCCCATCAAAACTCATCACTCTACATCCCTACCACCCCGTCAGTCAGTTCCCAACCTTCACTGTAAACAATCAACTTCGATGAATGTGCAAAAAAACAAAACAAACCGCTTTTTTCATTTGCTATATTTCACAATATTAAACTTGGTTCTGTTGCTGGTGCCAGTGTTTGTCATATTTATTTATTGATCACTTGATTTATGTGGAAATTCTTTTGATATTTTTAACATTTGCTAATGAGTTTTCTATTTCTATTTTTGTCCCAAGGCACATACACCTGTCGGCGGTACAATCGATTCATTTTGAGGTGTATTTTATAAAATGGCATTAAATGGAATTTTAGCTGCCAACACGATTTGGTGTGTTTGGCTTTTATTTGAAGTGAGCCGATTTTCAGTGCATGGACGGGGTGCGCGGGGTGTGAGCGGCCAATTACGTGGCGACGCCCCATAATTTCAAATCAATTATGACACTGAGCTCTCTGAAAACTGGCGCCATCGGTGTGTCATAGAGTGCAGACCGTGCGTTTAAAAAAAATTGACATGTTTTATGGATTAAATAAACCGTATGCGTATTTCTTTCCCCTTTTCAATATCCAGCGGTTGTTTACTGATATTAAGTACTGTAATATTGGCCTCCTTTTTCTTCAATTTTCCAGTGCACAAGAGCGCGGGGACTGAACAAATAGCGCAACCGAATGCAATTTCAAACGGAAGTGCCGCCCCTAGCGTCTACGTCCAGCTCCAGCGCCTCCGGCCTGGGCATTGGCGCCGACTTCACCGCCCGCTCCAATGCCAGCGGACATTCCAGCTCCGGGTCCGTCCTCGGCGGCAGCGGCTGCTCCGTCGCCATGGGCTCCAACTTGTTTGCCCACCCCCGCCGCGGTGCCCACGCCCCCTTGGGCGGCACTCATGGCCTCGGGTTGACCCGGGACTTGGGCCTCGGCGATGCACTAATTGAAGGGGGTGTGGTTAATGTGCAGTAAATCACTGGGTATTCAAGTAACTCCCGAGAGGATCAGGCTTTGTAAGGGAATCGAAAGGAATCTATCGCTAATGTACCCTTAATTTAAATAGACAACTTCAATTTCTCAATTTAATCTAAATTGAATCGCTTGTCTGACACACCGTGAGAAAAAACGAAAACGCGCTTTTAATTTTCCTATTCCTATCGGGAATTAACTTTAAGCCGGCTTAAAATCTCACCAGTAGCATCGCCAAAGTAATACAGGACACAATAGCGACTTTCATAGTTAAGCGAACTCTTTGAATGCAGGTGAAATAAACAATAGATGCGTTCCTGCAAGCCCCATCGCTTTTTATACTAACCATAATGTCATGTTCAAGCCCAACCAAATCACGTGGGAAGCACATACTTTGTATTATCCAAACACAAATCTTGGCAACACTCGAAAATAATAGTAAGCAAACATAGAATATTTTTCCCTTGACGGGATAAGGATCTACCATAGCCCGACGTTGTTGTAGGGCATCTATTATATATTATTAATAAATTTTCTTGTTGACAATCGCTTAATTGCTCCCGTGCCCCGTGCATGCTTCTGGCGTGAGTCTATTAATAAATTACTAAATAATTAACCAACCAGTTCAGTCCAGACAACCAAACACACAGAGGAATGATGACATTGCGTCCAATACATTTGTTATTGTGGAAATATTGAGTAATTGTACATTGTACAAGGTCAATCATAAGCATGGCGAAATAAAAATGGAATATTGTTTATGCTCTCGAAACTCTTATCTTACTCAGAAAAGCTATGAAACGCCATCAAAAGTTATTAAAATTTCAAGAAACTTACTGGATTTACTTTTAAAATTCTGTTGAATTTGCTTTATCTTTTCCAAAAACTGATAGCTTAATTATTATTTTCAATTTCAAGAAAATGTAGCTAGATTAATTTTGTAGTTTATTTTTAATTTGGTTTATCGAAAAAACTTATATATACGCATAAATTGAAATATTTTTAATGGAACTAAAAATACCGATTTACAAACACAAATCAAACAGAAAGTCAACGAATAAAATTCTAAAATTAGAGTTCATTCTAATTCTGATCTTGCTATTGGTGCTTTTTATTTTAGTTTGGAAATTAAAGTAATAGTGTTATTACTCGTGTATTTTCAGACAGCCTTTTTGTGACCCCTCCGTCAATCTGACATTAGCCAGCTCGAATAATTGGAACAATGATAAACAAAACAATTACATTAAACAATCGAAGAACAACAACCACACAGAACCCTATGTAATTAAAATTAAATCATTTTTATAGTTAATTTGTTTATTTGCCAAGTTAAGGCTTCCATTAAAATTCAAAGGAAAAGAAATAAAAAAGTTATTTGCCAATTTATAAATGCAACTGCATCAAAAAAAAACATTTGCTCACCAAAACAACATCCAGTGTTTTAAACTTACATACATCCTATATAAACGGGCATACATGAACATCATTTGTCATTGTTATTTGCTCATCTGTGGGTGGCCGCAGTAATGGGCAATATTGCCGATTATCACGTAGCTTAATCCAAAAAATATACCCTCAACAATGGAGCAGGGGAATGGTGCCTGTGGCATCATTAAAAATTAAATCAAAATTAAATGTTCATCAAATGCAATAAAAACGATTGCGCATGCGATTTTTATCCACTTTTTTGTGGTTTATGCATGTGCGTTATATTATTTATTTTCCTCCGGATTACTTTTTTCATTCTATAGTTGGATTGAGGAAGTCCATTTGAGGTTTGTGCATTAGGCTCCATAACTGTTTTCAGCTCTTTTACGGACACACAGAAATTTATAGTTTTGTTTTCGCGAATTGATATGACGAAGCGTTGTTTTTATACCCTTGCAGAGGGTATTATAATTTTGGTCAAAAGTGTGCAACGCAGTGAAGGAGTCATCTCCGACCATATAAAGTATATATATTCTTGATCAGGATCACCTCCTGAGTTGATATAGCCATGTCCGTCTGTCCGTCTGTCTGTTTCTACGCAAACTAGTCTCTCAGTTTTCAAGATATCGAATTGAAACTTTGCACACACCCTTCCTTCCTTTGCACGCAGTATATATGTCGGAACGGATCGGCCGACTATATCCTATAGCTGCCATTATGGAAATCCTTTGATGTTTGATCAGGAAATGATATGCCATAACTTTGGTGTTTGTAAAGAAGAATTAAGTTAGAAAGTTGGGATTTCCTATGGGTTTTATTTTTGGCCAATTAATCCGACCTACCAAATTTCATATGGATCGGCCGACTATATCCTATAGCTGCCATATAACTGAACGATTGGTGTTTTTAATGTTAGGAAGTTGGGATTTTTTATGATTATTAAGAATGCATCATATGAATAATTTTGGAGAATTTAATTTACAGAGTATTCTGCAAGGGTATATCAACTTCGGCTCCGCCCGAAGTGAGCTTTCCTTTCTTGTTAATAATAATTTCAATTCGTAAACACATTAAAAGAGAATACGAGCAATGGAATATATTGAAGTTCTGATGTATTGATTATCCATTTCTATATTGAAACTAAATGAACGGCGAGTTCATAATCTTTTCAAGAAACTACAATAAATTTCCAAGAGTATCTACAAATTATTGAAATTGAAATTATTCTTAGGCTGGCGAGTATCGCATAATCGCCTACGGTGCCACCCCGTATCATATCAGCCGTATCATGCTTATTTTGCGGTTTATTTTCTGAGAATTTTTGACGCGTACGTGTGACATATTTTCTGGAGGCGCCGCCGATAAGGCGCTTCAGACGACAGCAATAACAAAGCGAAAACCAAACAAAAACACAGAAAACACAAAGGCAACAATAGCAGCAACAACGGCCAACTGCAAGACAACAATCCCACAGATATAGATTATACAAACTGACAGTTGTCGTAGGTATACGAGTTGCGTCGCCGACGCCGCCACTTTGGCATTCAAAGCATCGACGTCCATGGAAATTGTAAGTCCCCGCCGAGTATTTGCCTTCAGAGCGTCTCGTCCACAATATCTTGGATGTAAATAATTACAACAAATTCAAATAAGACGCAAATTTTCTCCAATAAAGCCGCAGCTTAAACCATTTTCAAGCAAAACCTATCGGAATTCTTAAAAGGCATTTACAAATTGGGAATTTGGTACTTTTAACTTATTGATCACCAAAACTATTTGGTTTTTGAAATTGGTCTTGATATCACCCTGTTCTTAATTAAAAAGTCTATCACAACAAATAAAGAGCTTTCTTCAACAACAAAAACATCCATCATATCTAAAAATCGTATGTTTTAAGAGTTATAGTTCGCGTTTTACATATGCGATATTCATTAGCCCATTCAAAACTATATGTTTCCGCTGCAGGTGTTAAAAACCACATGTTTCTCTCAGAATGAATGGGATACTACTTCTCTACTTCAATATTTATGCACGCCTTTCTTTGGGGATTTTTGCGTAGGCCAATGAATTTCGCAAGAAAAAAGGGGAACCCTTCCCAACAATCGATATTGTATGATTTATGCGCTGGTCCTGGTCCTCAATGAAGGTCGACTGGCTATGGGCTATAACCCACGCTCGTCCAGACGGATAATTAAGTTGCTGGCCTCTGAATACCACTTGTTATCAGCAGAAATTCGCTTGTGGGCGCATTAATTGCCCCTGCCAAAAGCAGAAAAGATTGGTGGGAAGGAGAGTAATGTGCAGTTTGTGTTTATAAAGCGTAAAATGAAATTATCATCGCACATATTCAATTATCCTGTAATAAAGTGGGGCTTTACAGATTCGGTAAGGGGCGGGGTGACGGGGCGTCGACCTCTTTATCCCCGAGGAGACGCAGCATCTGTCTGGGGTCAATTTAATGTCGCAGGTCACTACTTACCACTTGGTTATTAGAAGAAGAGGTCAGCAAACTCAGCTGCCATAAAATATGTATTTATCGGCGAAATATGGCTGGACCTTTAGGCGAACGCAAATTTTCTGTGCGTCGTAATACTTTATATCTAAATCAAAGACAAAAGAACCAAACAGAAAGGTTTTTTAAAAATAATGTAACAATACAATTTTCTTTGTGAATTAGGCATATCATTATTGTTTAAATTAAAAAAGATAAGTATGATTTTAGAATAACCTAACAAAAATAATTTTATATATGTATGTACAATATGCACAATATGTGAGATATACAGTTTTGAGTTTTGCTTGAAAACAATTAATTACGCATTATTTCATGAACACAACTGTATTTTCTGTAATTGAACCTCATACTTACGCACGCACACATGAATAAGGCAGTAGGATTGGTGCGGGGAGCACCCTGCCAAATGCGAAGATGTAATTTAAAAAATCTATGCATAAATCCTAAATGTTTCAACAAAAATCCATATACGACGAATTGGCTGCACTTTTACTTACACTTTTCACTACTTTTCTTTTTTTAATTCAACGGATTACCACGAAAAACACATTTATTACCCGGCAAAAAAAGCTGCGCGGGTGGGTGAAAATAAAGAGACTATCGATATTCGATAATTCGCTCTCTTGCTCTCTCCTTCACAAGGAAAGATAGGTGTCAAAAAGGTGTTTGCTATAAATACTTCAACCACGTGGGTGGTCCATAGTCTACTGAAATAAAGTCAATGATAGAAGACTCTCAAAATTTAAAATTTAAAAGAAAACGACTATAAATTAGAAAAAACGTTTATTTTTTGCAAATGTCCTTAAACACGCTTTGCTTGATTTGGAGTGTATCCGCTACCTGTCGATTTCATAATACCACTTAATTATTTTGCACTTTGATCGCCATTCGATTCCGATTTATTTCTTCTGTGCCCGCTTTTTGTTTGTTTATTTTTGCCGGGCGTTGCGAATTCCTCGTTGGAACTCAAGACTACCTTAAAGTGCCAACGACTTGTTATGTAAACAAATATTCGTACCTTATAAGCTTTTTAAAATATAATAAACACAAATCTATTGATAATACCTGGACATTAGGTTAATAGATAAGCAAAAAAAATAACTTTTAACAGAAAAACAGTTTATTTATTAGCCATTCTGTAAGCCTAGTAATTGCGGATCAGGCTCAGCCTATGTTCAGGCTAATCACCTGCCAAGTTTGAAAATCTTCCGGGCCAATGAGTGGGGAACAACATGACGATTCTGCATGGCGATTGCATAAGGCTCTGTCGTCGGTCAGTCGGTCATCCCTTGCCGTCGCACTCCCTTTCGCCATCGTCCGCCCTGTCTAGACGCCT